TTACGTAGATGGGTTTCAAACTCACCTGAGCTGAATGAACTATGGAAACTTAATGGAATTGACTCTCGTGAAACATCTGAAGACTCTTTGGTACCGTTGAAAGTTTTAGGTCTTATCTGGGACAATGTCAATGATAATTTGAAAATAGATGTATCTCAGTTTGAGAAGTTACAAAATCTCAAAGTAACTAAACGCATCATTTTAGCAGCATGTGGTATGCTCTTTGATCCCTTAGGAATTATGAATCCATTTACTGTTCGAATTAAACTCTTAATGCAAACTATGTGGGAAAAGGGTATTCAATGGGACGAAAGTGTTCCCCTTGATACAGAATTCATATTTCAGGAATGGTTAAAAGAAGTTGAAAAAATAAAGTTTTTCGAAATTCCCAGACAGTACTTCAGTGATATGTGTTGGAAGTTTATAGAAGTTCACATATTTTCTGATGCCAGTCCCAAGTGTTATGGTGCCGTAGCATATTTTAGATTTAAGAAGAAAAATAAATGTAAAACAAGTTTCATAGTGTCGAAATCCCGTTTGGCTCCATTAAAAAGGGTAACACTCCCTAGGCTTGAACTTTTGGGAACATTAATTTCTGCAAGATTAGGTTCGTATTTGCAATCGATATTTCCGCAGTTGGATAAGGGAAATATATTTTACTGGACTGATTCCCAAATTTGCATTCACTGGATCAAGGGATCTGCCAACGAGTGGAAACAATTTGTTAGAAATCGTGTGGTAGAAATCAAGGAGAAAACAATTTTAAACAACTGGTACTTTTGCAGTGGGAAGACAAACCCTGCTGATAAACTTACGAGGGGGATGGATGCTGAAGCTCTAATTAATGATAGTGATTGGTTTTCTGGGCCACCCTGGCTTTCAGAAGTAGATATTCGACATCACATAAACGAAATGAATACCGAAGCTGACTTGCAAAACGTTAGTGAAGAACGAAAATGTGTTACTTTGAAAACACTTGTGGAATCTACAGAACCGTTACTAAATCTTGAACTGTTACAAGGAGAATTTACCGAAGTACGAGATGGTCTCCATTGCAAAGATGAACAACTAATCACAGCAGATGTTCCAAGGGTTTTGGAAGCAGTGGTCTAAAGAGTACCTGTGCCAACTACAGCAGCGTAGCAAATGGAGACAGCCTAGCAGAAATATTCGTCTAAATGACTTGGTTCTCATTAAAGAAGATAATATGCCTTCATTACGTTGGAAACTCGGGCGAGTAATAGAAGTGTTTCCTGGAAGAGACAATAATGTCCGAGTGGTTAGACTAAAAACTGTGCACGGGGACATTAAACGTCCTATTACCAAACTGTGTCTTTTACCAGTTGAAGAACATTAACTTAAGTGTTTGGTTTATATTGAATATGTTTTTATTATTATTTTCATTTCTTATTGTACTAATAATTTTATTTGTTTGTTCTAGTTTAACCCTCATAGTTAACGTTTCAATATAGTAAGATATAAGATGTTTTGCTAGAAGATTGGTAAGTGTAACATGTAATTTTATACTTTTTGAAGGTTTTTGTATGTTTTCAGTTTCTATATTTTTCATTTACTTGTTTGCATATATTGAAGATTGTATTAAGATGAATGTAATTCATCGGGGGGGGGGAGGGATGTTTTGGCCTCCTCGGTGATTGCGGTGATTTGTGCCCAGAGGGCGCACCGCACAAAAAGTTAGTTGCGTTACAGAACGTAAGGGAAGCGGACACGACAAAATGTCGGGCGTATTACCGCTAATTGAGGTAATTGCATCGTATCTGTCAGGTGGCAGAAAACTAATATGATGTATCAATTCACATGCCAGGTGGCAGAATATGTCTATCATGTACATGCCAGGAGGCATAACGCTTGTAAACATGCCAGGTGGCATACGACTTGTAAATAAATTGTAAATAAGTGTACAGTAAAATATCTTGGTGCAATAGATCAAGGAACACGCATCAACAACCTTCTGATCATTTGGATACGTACACAGAGATAGTAGTTGAATTCCTTACTTAGTTGAATTGACTTTGAATTGACTTGGTAGTTGAATTGACTTATTTCTAAATTTATCGTAAATGATAATATACCTTCCAATGATTCAGATAATTCAGGGCATATCTTATTATGAACTAAAAAACTATAATTGCAATTAACTACAGATAAAAATTTGCAACCACATTTTCGCAAGAAATAGATTTCTCTATAATTACTAAACACTCCTCCATTATCCATTATCTCCATTATCTATCCAAAAATACTTAATGTCTCTACAGTTTGAGGATCGTTTTCTTAGATTTCGAAACTTTCGACAATCCCCCCCCTGCCTCGAACGGCATGGGAATCAGCCAGCACCTAGTAATCATCATGTTCCCGGGGTGGTAACATTTCATTATGTTAAATGTTCAAGTTGTTTAAAAAAGACTGCACATCTAATTATCTATTGCACGGGCAAATGTAGACCTAACGGTTCCACGGAAGAAATGAAACAAATAAGATAGGCTTCCGAAATATGACTTAGATCATCAAGTGCACTTAAAAAAATAGTTTCGGATACTACTTTTATTAGTAATATCCAAATTAAATATTTTAAGCGCCTTTTGTCAAAAAGTTACAATTAATTAGTTATTTAATATTAAGCAAAATCCCGGCCTTAGTTAGTGGAGTTTCTAACTAAAATTTGATCGATTCCAAGGTAATAATTCCAAGCTAATTCCATAAGCAGATCTCTCTTTGCCAGGAGTTAAAAGTAAGAGACCTTTGTTTGATAGCCATTGAAGTCGAGAATTTTATTCAAAATTTACATCGATCTTAGGCTGCTTTTTTGCCTAATTCCTCATCCTAATAATCATCTCTCAGGGAAGAAAAACCGATCCGCAATATGCTGAACTGGTGCTGATGAAGGGAAGAGATTCAAACTATATCATTTAAACCCTTTTAACTTACGAAATGAAAGGCATTCTATGTCTTATAAAAACTGATATATTCGGTTGTCCGGAAAGTTCTACGATTTTGTGATGCAAAATACAAATGATGCAGTACACAAAACATGCAAATTTCATTGAAGCTTATAAACACTATATTTTACCATGACTTTTTGCTATCTCTCTGGCAGGGAAAAAATTCCTGTTTTGAAAACGCTGTGAGGTTTTTAATTGTAAAGAAGTTATAGAGGTAGTCTCTGACTCTCTTTAAAGAAGTGAATTCCAGGACGTTCAGAAAATTTCGGAGTAACCAGAGGAGATGAAAATCAAAGAGGCAAGGTCTAGTTAATACGGGGAAGTTACGTTTTGCTTAGATTTTTGTATTTAAAACTGCGATTTGGGACGTGTGTTTTTCTAAATTTATTGTCTAATTAAGTGGCAACAATTCTTAGTCTGCATTTCCTATATACTCACATCATAAACAAAGCATTAATTTTTTGGGATGCAAGCCATTCTCGATGGTACTGTAGGAGATTCTCCTGGCTTATCCCAAGATATTTTTCTTTAAACACTATTATATAGTATCGCGACCTTCAAGAAAGAAGGCCATTCAACAGTCTCAGCAGCGAAGAAACCTATCCCATTCGTTGAAAGCGCGTGTTTCACTTGCTCACAAATGGGATAGACTTTTCAAATTCTTCATGATGAAGTCATGAGAGAGCTGGTAGGCCTTGTTTTTCGAAGATCGCCATATTGTTCACTTCTCCGGTAATAGGCTGTTTCAAAAAAGGAACCTTTTTATTCTTTTTGGGAAGGATTCACGTACCAGAATTCGAGCTATTCGAATAAATATCTCCTGTAGTATTCAGGATGCACACGAGAATCCCGGATAAAAACAAAGGGGGGATGATTTTTTAGATGGGCAAAATATAATATCCCTCTTAGTGGTTTTTTTTTTTTTTTTTAATATTGCATATTGAACATGCTTTATGCTTGTCACTGAGAAAATGGGTTGTGATCATTTACCCTCATTTTCCTTTCTTTTCGTTTTGCTTCTTTTTCCGTTTCTTTGGGTGTGTATGTATGTAATATTGAAAGCAAACCCGAAAAAGCAAAATTTATAGTGAAAAACGCACAGATAAACTTTAGAAATGTGATTTCAACTTTTAACAGCTTTCGTATTTAATTCCACAGTATATCGATGGTGTGCATTAAGACTAGGAAATTCTTCCTCAAACAAATTTAGGTAGTTACTGCAATACTTTATTAAATCGAGTATAAAACAAACTTTCCTGAAACTTTTCTTTTAACCTGAAATCGTACTTGTATAATGCGGCAGACTAGTTGACTTCTAAAAAAAAAAAAAAAAAAATTACTACTGATAAATGGTACAGGTGTTATCGCAATTGCAATCTTATCTATATAATTTTAGATTAAAGCATGATTGTTTATTAGTTTAAAAGTATTATATGAAAACTTATCAATATAACTTTTTGTTAGATTCATGTAACGTACGCATATGTTCGTTTGCATTACTAGATATTGAGAGTATTAGCGCATTAGATTTGTTCCTAACTTTAGCAAAGTTTTTGGATTGTATTCCGCCCGTACGTTTCCATCATATATGTACTACTATGAGGGATGCAGTAATATTTTATTTTTTATTATACAGAGAAACATGAACTTTTACGCGTTTAAATGCCATTTGTGTTAGGCTGCTTGAGCATTTTATCTTTACTGCACAGATTTGCTTGAGCTTTTTGATGTCATTAGGGCTAGAATTCGCTTCTTAACTGCATTTGGATCTAAAATTAAAATTATAAGCACATTTATTGCGCTTATTCGAAAATTATACTACTAATATTTTAAAAATATCATGACATGTAGTGCCCGTTGGTGGAGGTTTCTCATATTCCAGAATGAATTATACTGAAAACTCTTATGTCTTATTCATTGTTGTAAATCATGAATTTTAATTATTTCAGTATTTTCTAACCAAAATAGGATTAGTAACTTGCATATAATTATTTTCCTATTCACTGCAAATAGTAACAGAATATTTATTTGTTTTACCTAAGAACGTCACATGATAAGCTATGTCTCTCCTACTGGCAGAGAAGGCCCACCAGCACCCGAGCTGTAAAGTCGCTGAACACTGGTAGTTCGGTACGAGGCTCGAATCCCGCAAACGGGCTGACTGCATGGGCGTTTTCGTGGTTTTCCCCATGTGTACCGTGTATACGAGCCAGTTTCCCTTAGAAAGTCCTCCACGAAGGCATCCCTTCCCTTAGGCAGATAGTCCTAGTGTGCTTTGCCCTAATTAAATAAACCAAACCAAACTAAATTAATCGAAACGTTTGACATCACAGATTTAGTCTTCTTTAAATCGCGTGTTATTAATATCCGAAAACTGATACCAAATTAATAATAAGAATTACGCATTACAAATGAATAAGTTAAAATGCTTATGTAATTTTCTTTTCAAAGCAAGCATCTACCATATGAAAAATTCGTTTTTTATGCATAATAATCAACAAGATTTCATGCGCTAATACAAAGTCACATTAATCATTTCAGTTATTTACTGAACAAAACTTACGAAATACACAGTCCAATCACATTAATGTGACCACCACGTACTTTCCATGTCAGAGTTAAATAACCAATCACAGAAGGCAGGTGGCAGCACAGTGCAGTTGAGCGTATATAAAGGGTGTGTGAGGGCTTCGGAAAAATTTCAATCGTTGCCGTAATGCAGAAGAAACGAAGCGATTTATCCGACTTCCAAAGGGCATGATCATTGGCTTTCGGGCCAAGGGTGGAAGATTTCCGAAACGGCTGAGTTTGTGAACTGTTCGCGTGCCGCCGTGGTAAAAGTGTACCGTGCATGGCAAAATGGGACTGTCCAAAATCAGCGACGTGGCAAATGTGTGCACCACGGCATAGATGACAGAGGCGAACGATGTTGCGGAGATGAGTTCGGGCAGATAGACGGGCTACGTTGAGCAAATGACCACAAAAAACCAAGGGGCTACCAAAAGGTCTCCAAAGTACTATTCAGCGAACATTGCTGCGTCTGGGCCTCCGAAGCAGACGCGCCTGGTTCGTGCACCTATGCTGACGCTGTTCATCGACGGCGAAGGCTGAATTTGCACGCCAGTACAGCAGCTGGACGTCCACTGAGTGGCGACAGGTTGCGTTTTCGGATGAATCGCGTTTTATGCTCCATCGACAGATGGCCGTTGGCGTATAAGGCGTGAAACCTCTGAAAGGAACCACCCTGCAACCATTGCCGGAACGGTCCAAGCTGGAGGCGGGAGCATTATGGTCCGGGGAATGTTTCCTGGCATTCTCTAGGTTCACTGATCATTGTGGAAGGCACAATGATCAATACAAGTACGCATCTGTCCTTGCGGACCATGTTAACCCCTAATGCGCATTGTTTTTCCTCAGGATGATGGCATCTTCCAGCAGGACTATGCGAGGTGCCATACAGCTGCCAGTGTACGTGCGTGGTTCGAAGAGCACCAGGATGAGTTTACCGTCCTCCCCTGGCCAGCAAACTCACCTGACTTAAACCCAATCGAGCATCTGTGGGACCATCTCGATCGAGTTGTTCGCGCCATGGATCCTCAACCGCGTAATCTAGCGCAGCTGGCCACGGCATGGCTCAACATCCCAGAGAACACCTTCAGGGACCTATGTGACTCTCTTCCTGCACGTCTCGCAGCAGTCCGCTCTGCGAAAGGTGGTTATTCTGGCTTTTGACAGATGGTCACATTAATGTGACTGGACTGTGTATACCTTTTTTAGATATGACTCAATGCAAGATAAAAGCAGATAAATTTAGAACTGTGCGTTAATTTCCTAACTGTTGTATAACTGTTGTTTTTACTTTTGAATTTGAAAATGAGAGTGTCGGGGAATATCTCTTCTTAAGGGTCTCGTTTAGTTGCATTCTTTATGAGCAACTTAAATTTAGAAGATTATTTACTAATTTATATTGTTTATGAAGGTTCTTTTGACTTGACTAAATTCTTTCTACTGATTGAGTATTGTTCATGACTTATGATTTGGCTCTAGCAAAATATAATTTGATCCTTACTTGGAAGAAAGATGAAACACTGTCACTTAATTTAGCTGTTGTTAAAAGATAGTAGATTGGTTTGTTCCCCTTGACAAGTTTTAATCTGCGATCAATGACAATAGCTTTTTTTTTTTTTTCAATATTTGAAATTTTTACTTTTTATTTTATTTTATTTATTTATTTTTTGCGATTAAGGATTTTTCTGTACAGATTTGTACGTTTTTACAGCAACAGAGGACTAGAAAATACTAATCTAAAATGCTAATTAAAATACTGATTAAAAATTTTCTTTCTTTCAATAAGTCATGGCTTAAATTGAATTTCTGTTCCTTGGAGATAGTACATAAAAATTTTCTAATTATAGATATTTTAAAAGCGAACTTACTTTTGGCGAAGTAATGATAAAATAGTTTTTTTTTTATCTTACACACATTGCCAGTACTGCTGCAGGGTACTGGCAATGCGTCTAAGATAAAAAAACTATCTAAATATGAATTATAATTTAAATTAGCAATAGCACCGTAATGCTTAATTTTAACTTGGTTTTCTGTACTATTTCATTTCGAAACTAATCCATGTCATGCGCCCCTTATATAACGCTGGTGATGTAAATGGAATTAGAAAACTCAAACCGCCAATAGTAATTTTATAGCATTATTAATTATCCAATCAAATGCTTTGAGACCCGAAATTAACTCATTCTGAATTAAGATTTCATCCTGAACACAACTTACATGCTTTCTACACTTCGGCCTAACTGGACTTCTACTTGCTGCTCTCTTCTTACTGTAAAGCTATAAAAAATGTATAGGTTTTGAAATAGGCACCAGTGATGTTCTAAGTTGTTTGTGGGCCGCAACGTGTTTTTAAAATAAAGATAAACATTTAGTCTGCCTCGGTTGCCCACTTTACTCTTCATTATGGATGAACATTTCAGCATGCTATGCCATCAATATTTCTAAAACTTCATTACTTCTAAGTTTGCTTCATTAGATATATAATTTAACGATACGCGCGCGGCTGTGTGTGTGTGTGTGTGTGTATTTATATGTTTAAAAATTTTCTCATTCCTCTAAACATTAATCATAACATTAAATTAAACCCAACCAACTATTTGCATTACTCTTATTACATTAATACATTTACATTAATAAACATTCTATTTTTTTGGTATGTTCTTTGATATTTTATACAGTACATTTTGTTCAGTATATATATTGTGATTGTGTGTAATAAAAAAAAACAAAATTAGATGTACTGATGTAGGAATACTGAAACGCAGAAATGCGCAGAATTCACAGAACGTTGTAGTTCCATATTGAGAAGGAAGAATTATGATTGCGTAATATGCTAAAATGTTGAGTCCGTGGTGATTAGGAAACTTGACAGTCGAGTAATATTAAATATTCATTTTTATTTCAATGGACATTTCTGGCCACAATTTACTTGGCACTTTAATCGTGCCTATTTCCAGAACATTTACATTTTTTATACTATTGCGATAAGAAGAAAGCATAGCAAAATAGCGTTCAAGCAGCAAGAGTGGCACAAGCGAAGTACGCATTTATCCAATACGGAATATCGCCAAGAGGGAGGTTTTGGTTTAGGTCAGAAAAGTTTCAGTTCTGAAAATTTTGAGTTCAAGTTGTAAATAAACTACGTCATCAGCTTTAAGCAAGCTCTGTGTCATAGATTAATCTAGAAATGGCGCAGTCAAGAAAGTTATTACTACTTTGAAAATACAGAGAGGAAATACCCAAATTAAAAGTGAGGAATTAAGAAGCTATCACTAAATTAAATTATAAAGTTGATTTACACATGTTTTATCTTACACATATAAATATAAATGCAAAATAAAATAAATAATAAGTTCAAAAGTTACCCCATATTCAATTCGGAATAAATATATGCAGAAACACACTGACAAACTGCAAGAAAAGGGATAAAAAAGAGGGGATTCTTCTTATAACGAGGTATTATATTTTAGCTGTTTTTGTTTTCATTTGCATATCACAAAACGTTTGCCCAAGATTATATTCTTACATTACTATTAGATTTCTAATATACTGAACACCTGTGTCCACAGTTTCATTAAAATATGACTATTTTTCGATATAACACCTAGTTTTGTATTTATAAATTTAATTTTGGACACAACAAGCTAGGTTTCTAGGTTTTCATATTATGATAATTCTATTCACGTGACATCTTTCAGCCAAAACATACTAATATTATATGGAGCCTTTAAGAAAGGAGTTCGGATACTACAAATTCTTCACTTTTCTATTAATAATTTTAGGGTAAAAAAATATCAGTCAAAACTGGCGCAGAAAAATAACTTCAAAATTATGACTTAAATCATTTCCACCCCAAGCAAAACACGGGAAGTCATTCATTTACTAATCGCATATATTAAATTTCATGAAATGCAAAATTTCAAATTTCTAAATACAGTATTAATTTCGAAAATTTTTATTCACTGCCTTGAAATTTTTCTCATTTGCACTTTTTTATTGGTTTGCGTGTGTATGTTTGTGTGCACTTGTACAAGGCCCGTAACAAAGCTCTTCAATTTTGTATGTTTTACTTAAAAATACCACGGAACCACAGCTTCGCAGGTCAGCCATATTATTTTTTTATTTTAAATTGGAAATATAGGATGATGATCAGTAGTTCACGGGCAGTCGCTCAATTTTTTTTTCCTTTGAATTTCTCTGTATATGTAAAACTACAGAAATTAATCAAAATACATGCACATCATATATGTTGTTGTTGTTATTTACTCCGGCATTCGAATCGGGGTCCTTTGGCACAGAAGTCAGCGACGCTAACCGCTATACCGGTTGGGTGGCATACCATCTATTATGATTAATAATGATGACGAAATATTACTCAGGTTTATACACTTATTTAAAAACACATGTTTACAAACTACCATCAATTTTTTCCCCTTAATATTTACGATGGCACTTATTGTACCTACAAATTTGATTTACACTCTGCCAGAATGCAGGGGCGCATGTGAGACATATCTACATCCTGGTTAATTGCGGTTGTGAGAGCCTTAATTCAAACAGGTTCTGTGACAGACGCTCAATGGGTATTGTGGCGGAATAATGAAGATCGCCAGAGCTGTGGGCAACACAGTTGGTAAATACTATAAATTTGTTC